AACGAATCTCCGTATACTATAATGAAGCGTCTGGTAAGAGCATATTGCAAATATTACGGTGCGCGCTCTCTTCTTCTCTTCGTTCTCTACGTATAGTGGATTATAACTTATTTGAAATTTAGTCTACTCGGAATTTATTACGTACATACACTAAAAGTATTAAAAACGACAAGAAAGTACACGGAAAATTTATCCTGAAAATCGTGTAATCGTGGGACAACATGGCATTTTGAAGAACTTTATGACAGTTTTCTAAAATTTTACCGTACGTTTTACTAGTAGAATGCATAATAATGTTTCAAAAAACTCTGTTGCCCTACGGTTACATGATTTTTAGGGTAAATTTTAAGAGAAAATTCTCTCCGTGTAGATACTTGTAACACGATATAATTATCTAACTAGATAATTTAATTGAGACTAAAGAGATAAGTCGTGCAGAATCTTTTTAATGGAGATTACTTTGGCGGATTCTATCTTCGCGTCGAAAATAGCAATAACGAGAAAGATAGGAAATCGCGTGTCTTGCACCGATGGAATGTTGGAGAAGAGGAGCATCGAGACACGTATTTTACGCTGAAAATAGCTCTCTGTGGTCGGACTTAAGGTTGTAAGTTGCAACTGCAACACGATTTCAGGACTTCTCGTTCGCGTCGCGAAAACGAGATTAGTTCCGAGAACGTAACACGCGGCACGTGCTCCATGGTAGAAACAGTTTAATTAACAAACGAATGAAGCGCACGCACCACTCGTCGTCGTGAGTGATTGGTTGTTAGAAATAGATTCGAATGTACGCGGAAAAACTAATATCTTTAACTTCATACATTTGGAGCGCATCTTTTTTCTCGTGTTTTTAATGTATATTTTTACAACTATTATGCTCTTCACCCAAACATCCTGTTAAGTATTGAAAATTAATGCGCGAAACATCTCATCAGGAATTGACAAAAGTACATATTGCCATTAATGAGGATTCATTAAATCCATCGATCGCGAAATTAAAATCATTTTACATTCTGGTACTAATTAAAGTCGCATATCTTTATATTATCGCAAATCCTTACATAATCCTATAGTGACTGTTAATTTGCAAACGATGCAGACACGTGGTTCCATCCATGTATGTACGCATTTCCGCCGAATTATTATGTTCGGCACGACTTTTCGGTAGACCATCGTTCGAGCTAATATGGACGTCTTGACGTCCTTGTGTTATCGCGACTATTGGGTACGTTCGTCATCATAGATCGTTTTATAGATCGTTACTTTCGTACATATAGATTTAGCAATGGAAAAATTAGGGATTTTATTGCTTTTTCTATTTGACAAAATATTTTACGAGTCGTTCTCTTTTGAAGATTTCTAGGCATTTCTTGTACTTCTAAAATATCCGAGTAAGCCCGAGTGGAAATTTGGGAACTATTTTGACACTTTCAAGGATAATTTGCACCTACTTAGCTGATCTATACATCTACATAGACCAGCAATAACCTACTTTGATGATATTATATTTTTTACTCCTCCCTTGAATCTTTAATTCTAAAAATTTATGTTAGCTTCTACTTAAAAGGACCTACTTTAATGCTAAATGCAAAAATAGAAATTTCCGACACTATCAGTTTTAAAGTAGGGGTAAATTTTGTACTTGCAGTTCGACCTCTTTTACTGTCTTAGGTCCTACTATACAGGGTGTACTAAAACCACCGGATATCCTTTGAATCGCAGATTCCTTAGAAAATTTCAAGAGGAAAATTCTAATAAAAAAATGTCGAGGCTATGATCGTTTTTAAATAATAAGCGATTATACACATTTCACAAATGACAGGTCTGAGATTTCGCGCGCTCAGGCACGGCGACATGACGAGTGATAAAAGTGTGTTTCGCGAGCGAGCGAGAACCAAAGTCACCGTTTAACGGGACAGAAAATATTTGGGAAGACGATGATCCGGTTATTTTGAAAACTTGAGGATAAAGAGAGGCAGGAGACTAGATTGAATCTAACTGAAAATTCCAAGTTCACTCAGAATATCGGAGATCGACTAAATCGAAGGATATCAGTCTGATCAAGATGCTCATCATAGTGAACCCCTCCCTTTTATTAATAAGACGTTACACAAAGTTAACCAAAGAAATGGTTAAAGATAACAAGAGGAACAATTAATTCGAGAATGAATCGTTAAGTCTGTAGTGAAAGTTGTTATTATGCTAAAAAGGGCGATATTCGTAGGAACACCTTTATCACTTGTCGTGTCGCCGTACCTGAGCGCGCGAAATCTCAGGTCTGTCATTTGTGAAATGTAATCGCTTATTATTTAAAAACTATTATAGCCTCGACATTTTTCTATTAGAATTTTTGTCTTGAAAGTTTCTAAAGAATTTATGATTAAAAGGATATCCGGTGGTTTTAGTACACCTGTATAATAAAATTATGGGTTCCACATAGGGACAAAATTTCGACTTGGGAGTAAATATACATATATTACCTGATCCTTATTTCGCTTTTCCCATTACAGTCGCGACGTCCACGAGTGGGGGGAAATATGTACCGCGCGCGATCCTGTTGGACTTGGAGCCAGGAACGATGGACGCCGTTCGTTCCGGCGCTTACGGAAAGCTCTTTAGACCGGACAACTTCGTGTTCGGGCAATCCGGCGCGGGTAACAATTGGGCGAAGGGCCACTACACCGAGGGCGCCGAGCTGGTCGACTCTGTCCTCGACGTGGTGCGAAAAGAGTGCGAGAACTGCGACTGCCTGCAGGGTTTCCAGCTTACCCATTCGCTAGGCGGTGGTACCGGGTCCGGAATGGGCACCCTGCTCATCTCCAAGATCCGCGAGGAGTATCCCGACCGAATTATGAACACTTACTCGGTGATGCCGTCGCCCAAAGTGTCCGATACCGTTGTGGAACCCTACAACGCGACCTTGTCGGTGCATCAATTGGTGGAGAACACCGACGAGACCTATTGTATCGATAACGAGGCTCTATACGACATCTGCTTCCGCACTTTGAAGGTTTCCAACCCGAGTTACGGCGACCTCAATCATCTGGTCTCGCTCACTATGTCCGGAGTAACCACTTGTCTTAGGTAAAAACCCGCGACGGTGACAAAAGAATTCTTAAAAGAAATACAATCCTTCGAACTATCAATATGTGGATAAAGAAGTAGCAATACGTAATGCAGATGATATTTGTTTTCGCTTTAAATAACAGTATATCGACTGATAACTTTTTAAGTTGAGGGAATAGTATGCATTTGCTAATAATAACATGACTCCGCGCACGTTGACTTGTTCAGGTTTCCCGGCCAGCTGAACGCCGATCTGCGGAAGCTCGCGGTGAACATGGTGCCCTTCCCACGTCTGCACTTTTTCATGCCGGGCTTCGCACCTTTAACATCCAGGTCTATGCAGCAATATTCCGCGCTCTCCGTGCCGGAGCTCACGCAGCAGATGTTCGATGCCAAGAACATGATGGCAGCGTGCGACCCACGCCATGGTCGATACCTCACCGTGGCGGCCGTCTTTCGCGGCAGAATGTCGATGAAGGAGGTGGACGAGCAGATGCTGAGTGTGCAGAACAAGAACAGCTCGTACTTCGTCGAGTGGATACCGAACAACGTCAAGACGGCGGTGTGCGACATCCCGCCCAAAGGTCTAAAGATGTCGTCGACCTTCATCGGCAACACCACCGCTATACAAGAACTGTTCAAGCGCATCTCCGAACAGTTCACTGCCATGTTCAGGAGAAAGGCCTTCCTCCACTGGTACACCGGCGAGGGTATGGACGAGATGGAGTTCACCGAGGCCGAATCCAACATGAACGATCTGGTGTCCGAGTACCAGCAGTACCAGGAAGCCACGGCGGAGGAGGACTTCGAGGCGGAGGAGTGCGCTGATGACTTCGAAACTTGCGAGCAGGAGAACTGAAGACAGATAGACGTTCTCTACCAGTAGGCTTATCTTCAGCCTCTCTGTCTCTGTCCCATCATCGTAGGAGCTCGCATGACCGATCGTGCGAGGCTATCGCGAAAAGCCGTGTTTTGATACTTTTATATACGACGCACGATGCGCTTTTTAATCGCTGAGACGGACGTAATATAGGCGATCGAGATTACTCTAGTACATTTTATTGATTCCCCTTAGGGTTACAAGGCGTTTTTGAAGGAACGTGCCCAAACCTCTTATAACACCTCTCTCTATATCCAATTCGCTATGTGGCGATCGAACGAAAAGCCAACAATGTTTTTGTTTGGTTTTGAACCCGGGTCTTCGGATTACCAGACCAGCGCACAATCCTCTGCGCCACGATCGCCACACGATCGCCGAGATTACTCTTTTTACGAATTGTGTGATACCGAAATATTTATGAAGATCGATATTCGAAGGCAAATGATATCGCGGCGAATTAATTTAAATTAATGCGAAGAGTAATTATTTAGTATGTAAAATAGCCTCTTTTATTGATCTTGTATTATGATACGCCTATGTTATATTCAGCTTTACTAGTGATAATCATAAGAATTTTGATATGTTATTTGGCACAATGTGGCATAGACTGGAGTGTAATAAAAATCGTTGGAAAATCAAGTTTTTGTTTGTCGTTTTGTTATAACCGCGAAATAGTAAAGTGCAGGCGGTTAAGCGATGTTTGACTCGCGGTTTCAAGCATCGGACAATTTATGCGGTGTTATATTGCATAAAGTATTTTATTTGAAATCCAATTTTGTGAAATACTTTCTAATATTTTGCATTTTGCAATATTTGCTTATCTAAAAAAAATTAAGTTTTGTCCAAATTAAAAGAAGAATCTCTCATTGTATATTTCTTTAACGTTATTTATGATTTTCATATTATTTTCAAAATACTGGATAAAATGTAATCTTATACTTTTCATGTACCACGTATTAAAGATAGCTCGGGCGACATTTCACCTCTGAAGATAGTAGCGGCGGTGAGAAACTGTCGCGCAATAACGCGAGTTCTCCTTTATTGTACGCAATAATAAAGTGTTTGCCCTCGGGGCACCGATGAGATAATGCGCGATCGCCAATTTTTGCCGAGGCCTTGGCTTCATCAATGTCAGTTGACCAGAAGGACGATAACGAGTTCGATAACGAGACTCGCGTCTAAACGTCAGCGTTTGCTCGTCTTATTTTAGAGGCGTCGTACTCGTAGCTACGAACAATGTCACTAACTGATGGAGATGATATTATCAACGTAACGAAGAGCGCTAATCGAGTCGTATCAGTTTCCTAAGCATTTAAAATACAGCGTGCTTCGGAGAATCCGCCGCAAATATTAAATCTAAAGACCGACTCTTTTTGCCAATACTTTTATAAACTTCACCAAAGTAAGCGTACAAATTAAATTAAAACATCCAAAAATTCGTGTACAGGGACAACACGTACAAAATAGTGTAAAGCATTCATAAAGTAGGCAAAAATAGCAAAAAAATTGTACAAAAGAATCGCCAAAAAATGTTTGCAAGTGCGCGCGATCCTCCGTGCTCGACATCTCTATATTCCATCTCTTCGTTTCCTACTCATCCACTTCCTCGTAATCCTCCTCCACCGTCGCATCTTGATACTGCTGATACTCCGACACCAAATCGTTCATGTTCGATTCCGCCTCGTTGAACTCCAATTCGTCCATACCTTCGCCGGTGTACCAGTGGAGGAAGGCTTTCCTCCTGAACATCGCCGTGAACTGCTCGGAGATCCTCTTGAACAGCTCCTGAATAGCCGTGGAGTTGCCGATGAAGGTGGCGGACATCTTGAGGCCGCGCGGCGGAATGTCGCACACCGCCGTCTTCACGTTGTTCGGTATCCACTCGACGAAGTACGAGCTGTTTTTATTCTGGATGTTGAGCATCTGCTCGTCCACCTCCTTCATCGACATCCTGCCGCGGAAGATGGCCGCCACGGTCAGATAACGACCGTGGCGCGGATCGCAGGCTGCCATCATGTTCTTCGCGTCGAACATTTGCTGCGTGAGCTCCGGCACGGTGAGAGCTCGGTACTGTTGGCTCCCCCGGGACGTGAGAGGCGCGAAACCTGGCATGAAGAAGTGGAGACGGGGAAACGGCACCATGTTCACCGCGAGCTTTCTCAAATCGGCGTTCAATTGACCTGGAAATCTATAGCCGTTTAAGATAAATTAGTTTTTCTCAGTCATTTTGATTATTGCATTAACAGTCAGTTTCAATTTAATAACCACGTTTTCTGTACTATAGACCTTAGACAGGTTGTCACGCCGGACATGGTAGCCGACACGAGGTGATTCAAATCGCCGTACGTAGGAGTAGTCAGCTTCAAAGTACGGAAGCAGATGTCGTAGAGTGCTTCGTTGTCGATGCAATAAGCTTGATCACTGTTTTCTATCAGCTGATGAACCGACAGAGTAGCGTTGTAGGGTTCCACGACTGTATCGGAAACTTTGGGAGACGGCACCACGGAGAACGTGCTCATGATCCTGTCCGGGTATTCCTCTCGTATCTTCGTGATAAGCAGAGTACCCATTCCAGATCCGGTACCACCGCCCAAGGAGTGCGTCAGCTGGAACCCCTGCAGGCAGTCGCAGCTCTCGGCCTCCTTCCTCACCACATCGAGCACCGAGTCGACGAGTTCGGCACCCTCGGTGTAGTGACCCTTGGCCCAGTTGTTGCCGGCCCCCGACTGGCCGAACACGAAGTTGTCCGGTCGAAATATCTGACCGAACGGTCCCGAGCGCACGGAGTCCATGGTGCCGGGCTCCAGGTCGACGAGGATGGCACGCGGCACGTACTTGCCGCCGGATGCTTCATTGTAGTAGACGTCGATTCTCTCCAGCTGGAGATTGGAGTCACCGTGGTAAGTGCCGGTCGAATCGATGCCGTGCTCGTCTGAAATCACCTCCCAAAACTACGAAATGGTTAACAACAAATAAATTAGAATTAAACGCTGAGAAAAGATGTGTTAACGCAATAGAAAAGACAGAAATATATGAATCACCAATCGAAAAAAAATTGATCGTGATAAGAGCGTCGTATATTTAATCAAGTGGCGTTTCTAATTAATGTTTTAAAAGATAAATTAAATTTTATACAAGTTTTTTATAGATATTTATTTAAAACATAATATGCGCTATACTTAAATGTGATGTAGATATTACACCAAATCAACTAATCGAGATTGACATTGTCGTATTATATTTTTTTAGGGATACTAACCTTGGCGCCAATTTGATTGCCGCATTGGCCGGCTTGGATGTGAACAATTTCACGCATTTTGTATTAGTTATCGTGGAATTTTAAGACAAAGTAATTCAACGATGATTATTTTAACGGCTGTGGGAGTAGTCGGTCCTTAAAATTCAAGGATGAGAAACGAGGAGATCGCGGATTGCTCAAAACGTCATTCAAACAGAAACAGGCGACTGCCAAGTTCTCCTTGGTGACTGTCTGACCGCCTGTATAATTTGCTACTTATTCCGCCTATAAGTATGTTAAAATCGAACTGCATCCATATCTTTGCTCTCGCTATAGAACGTGAAAATATCGATCATGCAAGGTTTCCCAGACGGTTAACCGTCTCAATAGATATTAACATATTTTATTTAAACTAATTGAAATCACAACAAAATCTTAATAAGGACAAATGTAAAATCGACGTCTAACCGAACAAATAAAAAAAGTATAGCGTTACACTCCGGAGTTCTCGCAGATCCCGGACGTTAATCCTCGTACGGCGTATCAATCACACGCAATGTACACGCACACAACGACGACGAGTCGGAAGCACTCTTCAGCAGCACAGAAAACAGGGAACGAATCGTGCTAGTCGACAAACTCAGGCAGGTTTTACAAAGGAAGTACATTATAATAAATGGAAAAATAAATACAATGCGTGTCTACACTGGTAATTATGATACAACGTTGTAAAGAGTTAATTATAAGATACTGTTCGTTATTCCGTCCTGTCTCATTGCGACTTCCGGCACACGGTCACTTCCACCACCGCGCTAGCCGTCTTCGGCCCGACGACCTCGATATTCGTCAGCTCCTCCGCCTTTGGTGCGCTTAAGTTCTTCGCCTCTTCTTCCTTCGAGGGCAGCACGGCAGCTGGCTTCTCGCCCTCCGACGTAGTCGCGCCTTCCTGCGACGCGACTTTCGAGGTAGACGAGCGACTACCCGGTCCGCCGTTCACTAAGTACCTCAACGGCACGGACTCGGACTTGCTTGAACTTTTCCTGAAACCAATGATCGATATCAAGCTCGTTAATATAAACATAAAGCATCGACAATCGTTAATATTATTGTAAAACAATTAAAAGATAGAATTCGTCGAGAACAATTTAAAAATAAAATCGAGGAATCTGTTACAAAACATAAATTCGATTACGTAAAAATTGCCTTTCGAAAGTTCTCCTTCTTGAAAGTGAAATTCTGCTTTGCACTCCGCAATATGCCAGACCTTCCGTGAGATTACTAACTTTGGTATCGTCGGACAGGACCACAGCTTGAAATCAGCCCCGAAGAGCTCGCCCTCCTCGACCGTCTGCGGCAGGTGGATATTGAGCGTCTCCGGCAGGAATATGGAAGTGAGAGCGCCGGCGACGCTCAGCGATCCCATCACGATCAGGGGTAAGACTCTCGAGTAGACCGCCAAATGAACGATGTAGGGGAAGGTGAGGAGGCCGATACCGGCGATGAAGGAGGCTATGCCCATCGCCTGGGACCTTAGTACGGTCGGCAGCAGCTCGCCGACGAAGACGTAGAAGACGGCGAACGACGCAGCGATGCCGAATTTGCCGATCATCGCCAGGCTCACCGTCACCCAGACCGCGTCTGCTGCGACAAATGCCGATCATGCAGGATGCATCCATAGATGAGAACTGAGCCCGGTATTCATAGTCGGATCTTATATTTAACACTGTCTTAGGTTTATGACGCTGTAGGGAACATTTCATTGGCTACGGAGTATCTTGAGACGATCTTCAATATAAGATCTGTCTATGAATACCGGCTCTTGTCGCTTATATTATTTTACCTCTTCCCTTAAACTTCTGTTATCCGTTTCTAAATAAGAATTAGACATTTATGTGAACCTCGTGGCTTTCTGATGAGAGAAGCTATGCGTAGAGTGCGACGGTAACTAATTTATAAGCAGGTCGAACGTTTATTCATAAACGTCGTGACGTCGGCAACAGTGATTGCCTCTCACACGTTGGACGTGTGTGACAATATCATGACGAATTCAATAAGGTAATGACGTTGAGGCCGCCATGACGCACAAAGGCGTGCGATTCGGCTTAATACTTTTATTCAATTTTATCCCGCGGAGATAATCGAATAACGCGGAGGTGAGCAACGTGGTAAATGACCGTCATCATACATTTTCTCTCGTCGCTGCTTAGGGATGTCATATCCGGCGTTCCATATCCGCGCACGTGCAATACGCGAAACGCGACAAAATAAACAATTGAACTTGAATATCCAAAATAATTCCTCGAGAAGCCCGTCAGAGAAATGTGAAATTCTTTCCGCTCGCGTGAGACACTCGGACGTAAATCGACGAGATAGTACCTTCGGGCACGAACATGCAGGACACACAAGCGAGCCCACCCAGCATCATGGTAGCGCACAGTACCCATCTCCTGCCTAATCTGTCCATTGCGTACCACGTAATAAAGTACGACGGAATCTCCACGATTCCTCCTGCAAGGAAGATAAAAAGTCTGCAGGATTATAGTGATTTTTTTTTCATCCGACGGTCGTCAGTATCGCAAATATATGTATGAGATCGCGATGCACTTATGGCAAGCTGATCAGGAGAGAGAAGAAGCTTTTACCAATGAAGAAAGCCAGGTAATCGGAGACACCTAGATTAGTCGTGTTGTAGGACAGCCCGTTGTACACCACCGCGTTCGCCACCCAATCGAAAGCGAGAATGAAGAATTTCTTCCTGATGTTTGGATTTGTGATCAGGTCCATGGGCGTCGCGGACGGCGGCGGCGTCCTGTTCTCGCCCTCCACGTCGTTGGAATTCCTACCGTTACACGATACCCCTTGCCTCTTTAATATTTCTATCTGCAAGTAACGTCGCTAATGATTTCATATATAGCCCCTGTATTGCAAAATGATAACAACGAGACGTAGCATCTTATTTGTATGTTATAAATTGAACGGAGCAGAAGGCACTGACGATTAAATGGTGAAGTTACCTCCATTTTTCTGAGAAAGTTCGCGGGCACTGTTTTGCCGTTGATCTTTGCCATTTGTTGAACGATCGCTTCCGCCTCGTCTATTCTATTCTTACTGAGAAGCCATCGCGGTGACTCGGGGATGATCCAGTAGAGACCGAAGAGAAGAATGAAAGGCACCGATGTGGCTAACGACAGGGTATACCAGTGTCTTAACAAGTAACCCTAATAAGACAAAAGGAAGAGAACGAAAGCATGACAATTCGGTTAAAATAGCTGCTGCGTGTTTCATCTCAAGTTTTTCGTCGAAACTTGACATTTTAACGAGACTCGTGGGCTCCCGTGCGTATCTGGGCGCGAGCGTAGCTTCGGCGAACGTCTGAATGCAAAATGTTTCTATTATGTATGTATTAGCATGCAGCGACCGACCACTCGTATTTGCATACGCTCGCACCGTACACGCTGATGGATCGCTTGCAAAATGATCCGCGTTGCACCCTCGCGTCGAATCTATTGCGAGATCCGCGAGTTGCCTCTCGCAGCGACAATGCGAGCTTTGAGGTGTCGCGAGACATTGAAACAACTAGTATATACGCACGCTACTTTGCCCCTTTGTATTTTACAGAGAAAGGGTGCTTACCAGCAGCGCCAGGAGGGACATCGCCGTGGCGAAAAACATGCAGATCACCATCCCAGCAAACGTTCGGTATCTCGGTCCCATTAACTCGAGAGCTGCAACGAAATTTACCGTGCAGAAGTATTTTGCATTTCAACACGAGCGTCAATTCCGACGTTTCTATTTATGATCACGTTGCGCAATAAAAGGGCAGTTCCGATCTTTCGGATCGTTCTCCCGTATTTAAATTCTCCCCCAAAGCTCTTGCGCTACATTTCCGTTTGAGATTAAACTTAAGATTAGCCAGCAATTTACGTGTGCCCAACATACCAAGTATGAAAGGTATCTGATAAATGGCAGGAAAAAAGAGACCATTCACGGTCCTCAGCGCCGTATAGATGACGTAGTTCGGACTGAAGCTCGTAGCGATGGAGAATATCACTTCGAGAAACAGAATGGCGAAAAACGCCGTCCTTCTGCCCCATTTGTCCGCGATCCAGCCGAACACGACGTTGCCGAAGAGGCTGCCCACGTAGAAAAATGTCGTCGACGTGGAAGGCCACCAGCTGTTGTCACATACCAGGTCTAGCTATGTGGATGTAGAACGCCATTAAACTACTTTGCCAGCGTGAAATTGTATATCGCGGCGGAAGTGATGCAATAATTAAAATTAATAGAGAAACTGAGATAAAAACAGAATAAAATATTCAAGATATCAACGCGCGTAATTTACATTTATGTTATTTACACCAAAAAAATTATGCAAAACCGTTTTCAATACGATAGAAAAATTGAAATTTAATTAAATTGCTTGCAAAACACTAAAATGGAAATTTTTGTGGAAAATACACGTGTTCCGTTAATCAATCACAGTTTCAAGAAGAATTGGAAGCGTGTACGCTTTAATTAATTATTTAAAGTTTAACTATTTGCTTATTTAATCGGGAGAGATGCAACTAGACGTACCAAATTGTCGGCTGCCATTCAGAGGGTGAGTGGTACCGAAGAAATAATTGGTCCGGAAAGCGTTTAATCCGATCAAATCGTTATCGTTTTTTCCTACATGAACATATGTGTGTACGTCTGTAACGCGCATGACAATATGCAATTGCGACCGTCGCGATTCTAATGAATGTGACTCCGAGAGAACTTGACACGTTTCGTAAGGTTTGCATCATGGTATAAGAATATAAGATGCTGTAATCCCAGAACGCGTGAACCCTCGTTCAACTTAACGGAAATACTTGGACTCACGCAGCTCCAAATATGAGAATTTAACGTGAGCCGTGCGCCTGTTTTTTTTTTAACAATTTTTTAACAATGAGCGAAGCTTCAGACATGCAAATACGATACGCTAGAAAATACTTGGCAGACTTTGGAATATATTTCAAGATATTTAATGTCGAAACTTTTTAAAAGACCTTTTATTAAGTTCCCGCTGAAAAAAAGCATACAAACTCTCATCGCGGATCTTCCTTTGCATACGGGGAGAGAATTTTCTCTTAAAATTTACCCTGAAAATCGTGGGCATTTTGGAGAACTTTGAGAGTTTTTCGAGAGTTTACCATACATTCTACTAGTAAAATGTATACAAGTATAATTACGCAATTATCTACTGTTGTAAATTGAATTTTGAAAAATCACATGCCAACACTTTGCGTGGCCGGATAATTTTAAGCAAGTTTAGTTTAATTTCAAGCGGTGCTGTTTAAAACCAATGTCAAATATTTAACGCGATCCAATCGATATTTGCCAAGGGAAGCCCGACCCACGAGTTCATCGCAGAATTGCGCTGAGATTTAACGTCATAAAGCATCCTGGTGGCATCCGTGAAATGCATACGTGCGCCGACATTAGTGGCGAACCGGAGTGCGTGCTCGCACACGTGTGAACACACGCCGATCGTCATTTGTTCGTTGGTCCAGCATCGGCGACACACGCACGCGGGTGCGCGCGCGAGGAGGAATGGGAGGGAAGCTGCTGGACCAGCGGCGCGGCGCGGCGCGGTGGAAGGGGCGTTTCATCTCGTTGCGTTTACGCAGGAGGCTACCGACGTAAACGCGCTTCGTGTTTATCGCGAAGTGGGGGGCACGTGCGTGTACGTGTGCGGGCTTTTAGCGTGGAAGCCGCGCGTATGCGTGCGCGCGTCCGTACGCGCGCGTCCGAAGGACGCCAAGGTGTATTGGTGAGCTTCCCACAGTGAGAGGTGTCCATCACCCTCGTTTGACAGGAGGAACACGATCCCCTCTCGCGCCCTTTAAAGCCCCCGCGTCTCCCTGCCTCTTTCGTTCTTCTCCGGCGCGATCTCGCGCGGCGAATCCGAACGCGAACGCCTCGACGATCGTACGTTTGTCGATGCAAACGATAAATGCGACACGCGTTTATCGGATTTTACTCTAATTAAAAAATTAGACGTGTACATTTTTCGAAAGTTGCTTCCCCTAAAAAGTAAAAGTCCCTTTTTAGTTCACTTTATGAAAATGTGTCTTGTTATAGATTTGTGAGTCGCACAAAAGTTGGATGAATCAAGAAAAATCTTGAGTAATTTTTTTAGACGTCTCTCTCTCTCATTAATATTAATTAGTAATGCGATGCATGAGGCCTTTGGAGAAGCGCGTCATTGAAGACGTTAACTTCTCAGACACGGAACTGCGTGCGTTCAGGAATTTCCGTGGATTTGAAAATGCAATCAATGTGATGTATTAGTAAAAGCCACGTCGGAAAGTGCGGTTGCGAGTAAATAAGCGTATCCGCAAACAAACGAAATCCCAATCGAGTGGCTATTAGCCTCGACAAATAAAGCCTATACCGGTGGATGTTAACAGTTTTGACATGAAGTCTGATTTAAGCAAATTGCCACTCACGGACTTTCGAGGTCTGCGCGAAACGCGCAAAAGATAAATTGCGCGGAAAGACAGGAGAGTGGTGCCCGCTGATTATGATGTTATCGAGTTATTGTCAAGGGCAGTGCACGCGCCCATAAGGACACTAATAACACGCGTGCATTTTATCACCCTGACACACTTCGAAATCAATATTGATATGACCGCAGTACCGCTCATTACCGCGATTGTTTGCGCCGCTCGCCGCGCGGGTTCGACAATCAAAATTTAATTTTACATCGCGTTAAATCACGGTGACAATATTTGTGGAACGACGCGGCCGAGATCAGCCGCAACGGTGCTGGACCGCCGTGGAAGAGGCGCATAGGAACGATGCTAAAACTCTCGCCGGTTTAGAGATCGATTGTCACTCGGGAATTTACGATAACCGCGAGACACAATCCGTGACTCGCGGTCCACTTTTTATTTGTCAAAACCAACATCGAAATTTGAGATTCGCCGTGCGACACTCGTCTAGGACTGCGCCAGTTCCATCTATGCGTTTGGCTACGCGTATTTACACGCTCCGGATTTACGCGGACACATGACGCAAAGAGCCATCGAGGCAAATCCTGTCCTTCCGTTTTCCGTTCTTAATCGCTATCACTTTCTACGCTAGCGCTTCAGTCACCCCTTTTGTCGTTTATACATCGCTGCTTTCGTCACAGAAAAGTCACGCTGCGCCTGCCCTTCTGTCGACGCATGCATTTCTCTATCGCGAAGTGGCTAATCAAGCAAGTTCGTTGCGCGGGACGTCTCTAATTGTACTCGCAACTGTTCAAGTCATTTTTACTATTGACTCAAGATAGATGCTTCGCATGCTCCTGGCAATTAATGTGGTAGAAACACTCGCAATTTTTGTTTAGCTCGAATATCAATCCAAAGTCAACGATTTTCAAGCACTCTCGAGTGTCTATGATTATTCATGTGTGTGTTCGTTAAACCGCTCATTTATCCGCGTGATATTAAGAATTGCGGCATCCTAAGGAGCCTGCAAGAAGTAGTCACTTCACGACATATATTTCTTGCCGCCCCTATTGTGACGACAAGTCAACTAGAACTGCTTTATGAGAGCGTACGGTAAAATTTGGTTATGAAACTTATTGGTTTTGTTCACATCAGGATTATTATTCATTCTCATGATTCCCTTGCCTGAATCTCTCCTGAGATGGTTGCGTGGGTGCACCAGTGATGCTAATAATGTAATTGCAATTATACGAAGTATGCGTTGTACGGTGCTGAGTACACAGAGCTGCATTTTCAAAGGGCGAAATATAGATAGAAATTATTTTCGCCTGCGAGACAAATTAAGATCCGGGCAGGAAGCAGCGGATACGCGGTGTATTCGTCTTCGCCGAGGCTGCTTGTCACATGTCGACACGGAAAAGACAATGACCCGTTCCACGGTCTCGCGCGGCGTGATGTCATTAGAGCGAAGCTCCTAAATCGAGCACAATAAATCATCGGATCGGAAGTATACAAGCGCGACTGCCCACACGCTATGCCACCGGCCAACGTCCCCCTCCTTGTCGATACACACGTTCGCGAAAGAAAAAAAGGCACTTCTCTAGGTCGCTCGAGAGTAATTAAACAAGCGCGTGTTACGTAATTAAACAATTTCAATACAAATAACACTTTAGAATGTTCAGCCTTGGATAAAATTATTAGGCACCCTCGTCATTACCAGAAAGACTTTATTGTTTAAAATTTGTTCACTGCTCTAGTATTAAAAAAAAATAGAAATTTTCTAGGGATTAGATTTAGCAAAGTATAAGATTAGGAGGATGCCTAATAATTTTGTCTATGGCTGTACGAGTCGTTGTTCAACGATACGTCGTGTTATCTCGACTATCTTCGAAAATTAAAATTGACTCGCGAAGACGCGAATACGGAGAGAGAAGAGCAAGAGAAAGAGAGATAGGAACGGAGGAGAGAAAGAGAAACGGAAGCTGGTCACGTTGAATCCGGCAGCAAGTACGTAGGAACATATATCCTCTGCATGAAGAGAGCTGGCAGTTTGTGCGAGGCGTTTGATGTGACATATCACATGACCGGATGCGGGGGTAGGTAAATTGGTCGGCAATTGCTGACGCCACCAGAGCTGCAACCTATCGGCCAGTCACTCGGTCGCTCATCAACCTTGTTCACCTGTTGACGATTCTCGTTGCTGGAATTCTCGCGTGCCGGCCCTCGGACGAAATCTTAGAAATCGGTCACGTCAATGCAAAACGCGTCCACGTCACCTCTCGCAATTTCGGGGAACGCACAATGAATCGTTCGTTGCGCGGCGCGCCGGCGATGTTGATGGATCGACCTGTTATCGCGGTCCAAGATCGTGTAAATTTCTGCACGCTGCCCGCGGTGCAATTAATTAATAACGGCAATTCGTTATGCGATAATTCAGAACAAAAAAGCACCCGACGGGAGGTACATTAATTCCAGTAATAATTTAATTCACTAACTCGATAATGGTGTAGCGAAACGTGACGCGCATACAAATCAGCGAGATTTATTTCCCACGTTTATCGCATTAAGTTAAATCCCGGTGCAAAAGGGAGCTAAATTCGACTGTTGTTGTATTTCACGTCGGTTAAATAAATTTTGCGGATGATTAATTGAAAGGACGGAAATGCAATTGCCGTTAATTCATGTAACCATGGATCGCGCTGAATAAAAACCGGGCGTACAAACATCCGGGAGAGCAGATGAAATGAACAAATATATCATCAACGTAAACGCGATACCGCGTGAAACACTGATAGGCTTAACGTCGCGCTTATCAGATATTTTGAGAAACGCGCGAGAAGTATGCGGTGATTCCTGGTTTATCAGATGCAACGCCATAAACGTTAGTATTCACAGAGACTAACGTCCACGATACGCAAAATAAATATTTCGCTCAATCCACGGTTTCGCGACACGTAACCGTAACTTTCCTTTAAAAAATATCCGAGGGGGAAACCGCTGTGTGCATTGTGGTGTACAGATTTGCGGCATTACCGGGCATTTTTGAAGCATTATAAAGATAAAATAAGATAAGACAAGATAGATAAGACAAAATAAGATAATAAGAGAAAGTAATGCCCACTGGGCATTAGTGGGCATTGGTGTACAAAATTTTGGTCAGCGGCTTCCCCCTCGAAAATATCACTCCTCGCGTCTTAACAACACCATTCTGTTTGCGTTGTGAGAGTCTTCAACTCGCGGGCTGCTACGATCTGCCTGATTATTTTATGGTTTTATAGTTTATCGCGTATATCAATTGTCTCATAAGATGCCCGCTATGAGATTACACGGCTCTTCTAGCAGCGAAGTCGGCGGAGAATCGAATAGAAGAATAAACGAGGAAGCAAAAAAACATGCCTAGATCCTCGACCCCGTGCATCGCGATTCCCATGATTACGCCAGCAGTTCACCGCGTTGTCTAATTGTGGCAATTTAATAATGTCTTAATGAATACTTACGACCGCTGCCACGTGATCGCGAGGTTTACCCGTCGGCCCAGTTGTTTTCTTCAGTATTCAAATACAGAAAATTGGAAAATATTGCCACGACTCCTTTCGGAAACGCGATACGCGGTGACTTGACTTGACTGCGGACTTACCATGAACACGTGTAGCCTTCTCGGGAGGCTTTGCGGCAGAACTTAAAGTATGAAATCGCAAGCACGGAGTATTTTGACGGCGATCAAGTATAAATTGTAAATAAAAAAATAAGTTTTTTTTGGACTCGGTAAAAGGTTGAGAAACGCACGTCTCATATTATCACGGAAGACATTTTGATTATATCGAGAATTTCGTCCCTACGATGTTCACGAAAGTACGGTGTCGAAAATTTCATGCAAACGAAATGTGGATCCTCGTCACACGTAGAGGATGTGACGAATTATTTAGAATAGGTAGACTTAAAAATGCTAATTTTACGCCTTCTTGACCCACCTTGATGTTAAGAAAATTGTTTCGCATACTTATTCTTTTTCAATAATTTCAGTAATTAAATATAATTATATTTCTTTCCAAATTCTTTCATTTTTCTCTTTCTCAGACTTAATTTTTAATAATGTTCTCTCTCTCTCTCTCTCTCTCTCTCTTCTTTTTAGCACGCTGCGAGGAAGTATAATATATATCTTTATCCCTATACGTTTTATATTACAAATGTAAAACATGCCGATGGCAATTTGAATACTTCATGACGGCGACAGGAATCGTACCGCGAGGTGTGATAAACGCAAGAACTTTGTGTCTCAACATTTGACCATTTCGTTCCACGATATCGCGCTTAATCGGAACTAATCGCGCGTAATCCGCACTGCACGATTTAATCCGTTCGCGCCAATCATACTCGTCATCGCCGGCAAATACTTCATGGAAAGCGAGCCCGTGCGAGAACATTACGAAGACACGTAACTTCGTTCCGCGAACGGGACCGCAGAAAACTCGCCGCGATGCATCGCTGGTGCACAAACGCCGGGACACACCACGGAGCCAAAGGCCAAGGCGACGTGGGTGAAATCCGATGCTATGCGAGGAAGAAATTTGTCGGCGACGATTAAGACGTCGTGGGCGTATTAAGCAAATCGTCGAAGTGTATTTTGCGCTACGGCCAAGAAATAGGGAAACTGTATTTATGTTCGGACGATTTTTTCTGACATTTTATAAGAATTCATCCATGATATCCAGATTGTCTGTGAGTCACGTTATTTCATTTAACTAAAAAATATGAAACAAACTGAACCAAACTGAACCGAAGAATTCATCCACGATACCCAGATTGTCCGTGAGTTACGTTATTTTATTTAACTAAAAAATATGAAACAAACTGAACCGAACATAACTCGATCGTAAAGTATATTATTCACGTTTAATTGTGCCCATTAAATATTATAGCATATTTTCGAAATCTTCCCGAATAAAAAATATGAATCTTTCTCTCTATTAATGATTCAGCGCTATTACTTTAACACCAGAACTACTGAAGAAATCAAAACGATTTGTCTCACCTCTTTTTTTCTGAAATTTTTCCAGATTATATTGAAGTGTGTAGATTAATTTCATAAATTAGTTTTCTCTTTTTTTCTCTAAGACTTCTATGCGGTACTCTATGTAGGTTCATTTTTAATAGTTCTAGTGTTAAAGCTTTCAGTCGCGTACCAAGAATGTACTATTCTTTTGCGAATTTACCACAAGAAAACTAATTCTGCGTCGAGAATAGATAATGAGAAGTCTGTATTAACGATTAACGAATTTAATCTGCCGATACAGACTTATTAATTATGAATTTATTATTTATTAGTTATAAGTAAATAATTGCGGGTCAAATTTCATTTTGCACGAACGCCCTAAAGTCGGTATCCTACAACGTTCTAATGACAATAGAATTACGTTTTATTCTGCAGATTTTTACAACACCTAGAAGGACACAAGCATATTAAACGGTTACTCGATGCATAAAGTGGAAGTTACGCTAAATGCGATACTTAAAAGTTTTCTACGACACGTTATATTATATAACAACAGGGAACAATAGAGCCATCATCGTTAAGTGATTAGACGCAGGACACCGGAAGATGCAGAATCTATTTTAGCCGCTTCTTAACTGATTGTGAGATATTTTATTTTAAAAAGTCGAGCACGATGAATGGTATTTCGAGTTAAGCGCAACTCTAATGCCGAAGACTACTGCGATTATTGTTTGTCGTAAAAATAATCGCCTGTCTTTCAATGGAAGCAATTACAAGTGGGATTTGGGATTTCTCTACATCAAAGCCAAACAATTCGTAAGAACTGGCATTGCCCACGCACAATCAGTGCGAAACGAGTGTCTCAAGTGCCTCATTACGGAAACCGTCGTCTCGGGGGGTGGCGCGTGGCCGTTTTCGGTGAAAGAGAGAAAGTCGAGTTTACCTCGGTCACGAGGGTGCTGTCGTAGTCCCTGGTATCGTAGTTCCACCCGTACCGGCACTCGGCGATCGGCCAGTCGGGGCTACTGACCGGCGGCGATGGCAATCGGGTCGACGGTGAATCAAACGACGGAGACGTGGTCAGCGACGGGCTGTCGGTGGTGTTGGACAGATTGGCGCCTTCGAGCCACGAATCAATTATCTCCGTGTAATTCACATCGTACATATGACACTTGGAATAAACCCTCCTGCCGTCGGGCTTGACCGAGTACGGCAGCGAGAGCGCCTTCCGCTCCTCCAACGACATCAGATCCGTCAGGTTCTCCAGTTCCGGTATCCTGCACCAGTGCTCTGGCGAGGCGCTCACGAACACCTATCTCGAAATCGCGAGTCTTAATTAAGATTAATTATTCAGACCTGTACATTGTTTTTGCATCTGCCTTTTACGGCTTGTCGTTTAACCCAATCCGATTTTCGTTTTACTCTATGTTCGGCTTTTCAATAAACCGCGCAAGACTCAATGTGTTCGATACTTTTGATGATTTTATAAATTTCAATGTCGAATATTCATATTTGTTAATTCGCTTGTTTGCTCTCGCGTATTTTATCGAGCTGGCATTCAAGCCACCGCAAAATTTCTCTACGTTCAAACGTAACAACAGCAAACTCACTACTAATTTTTATCTATGTACGTGCGAGAGGACTGTGTACACAATTTAATAATGCATTGATGTTAAATATACGATCAATGTATTTCAATCAATAAAAATATCTACGTATTTATTTGATTTAGTGTAAACTTACCATTCATGGCGTTCTTTTGAAAGGTAAAAATATGTTTGAAATTTACATCGCACAAGTTAGAAATAGCAAGAACAGCAAGAGATGGGAAACCAACATCCAGAAGACCCCCGGGAAGACCCAAAGAGATGGATGGATAGCTGCACATCCGGGTCACAAGAGACGAATTAATCGGAAAAACAGGCTTCAAGCCTAATTTAAGAGGAAGAAGAAGAAGTTAGGAACGAAACTTCCGCGTTGCGACTCTTTAGGAAACTGCCAATCTTATTGCTGCCCCTGCTATTTCAATGGGGCATCAATCTCCATCTCGATAATGATCTGCAAACTTAAGGGCGCACCTCTGAAATGACATCAGACAACGTGCTTACTTGCGAGAACGCCAAGAAGGCGGCCGGCAGGGTGGCGGGTATGCACAGCAAGTAGTACATGATGTTCTGGTATCGGCCCTTCTCTCCCACGTGTACCAGCACCTCGTCGAAGTCGATCGAGCTCATCTTTCCGGCGATGCCGCGACTCTGCCGTGTCTCAACAGTTTGACCACGACGGTGTGGACGACCACCACGACGGCGGCGGCGGCGGCGGCGGTGGCAGCGGCGTCGGCGGCGGCGGCGGTGGCGGCGGCGGCTACGACGACGACGACGATCGTGCACGATGCGACGGTGGCGTGGTACACCTTCGAATTACACGGCATGACCGCCGTCGCTCATCCTCGAAGGCAGCCACGCCGAATTGCACGTTTCTCGCCCCCTTCGTCCGAGACCGCGCGCCGAGGAAGTTTCCTCCTCCTTGGAGCGCTGCCTACCCACCCCCGCCTCCTCCACCTCCTCCTTCTCCTTTTTCTCCTCGTCCTCCTCGCCCGCCCCACTGCCTCCCTCCGATGTACCCCCGAATCGGGCTGTTCCAAGAGCGGCAGGCTTTCCACGATTCGGGCGCGTGCTACGACACGCGTCTCGCCACCACGTACACTGGGCTCAAGGTCACGCGCGGTCCACCACCAAGATCACCAGTATTAAACCTAACGCGTCGCGGTTGATCGAGTCCGAGGTAGCGATCCGCGTCTGGCTGCAATGAGCGCGTCGCACCTCGCGTCTCATGTCGCGCGAATCTCGTTAAGTCTGATCAACACCGACGCAGCTCCCCTTCAAGCGCTCACACCGGCGCGAACATCGATCGGCTTGGTCCTCAATCGCGAGGACTCGGGGATGCGAGGCAGGAAAGTGAATACAGCCGCTCGCTCGATCGCCGAGTGGTCTGATCCCAGCCGATCCTTTTCCACTTGGCGCGCTCCTCGCTCGCGCCGTCTCGAGAGGATCGCGTTAGTCTCTGCCTTTTCAACAGCCCTCCCGCGAAAATCGCTTTCGCGACCGTTCGCCGCGTCTTCTCGCGGTAATGAGGGGATTATCCCGAACGATCTTGACGATCACCCCGAGTAGTCTCAAGTGTCATCGAAAGCGCACTCGCGGTTTAAGTCCTACGATCACGCAAACTTCTTTCACTGAAGACCCGATTCACTCGATCGCGGCGCTCATCGCGGCGCTCATTCATTCCTGACTGTTTACGGAAGTGTCTGATTGACTCGCCTCTCTCTCTCTCTCTCTCTGTCTCTCTCGTTCCCTCTGTCTCTTTGTTAACATGCATGCGTTTATTAACGAACGGCGCGTTCTCCTGCACTCGCTGCAGCTCGCTGCAATTGAACACTCCTCGACACCGCTCGCGACTCACTCGCGACAACGCAGCGGCTCCTCGTTTCGCGGCTCGAGGGACCGTCCCTTCATCCTCGTTCACGCACCGCGTCCGCCCACCACGTCACGATCGCGATCACGAGCGCGTAGATCCCGCGTGGATCCGGTCGCTGCGGGCAGCGTTAACGTCGTCGTCCTCGCGATAGAGCGGCTCATACGCCGCGGGCATCGCGGCCACGACGATCAGCCATTGCCGGAGAAGACCTCCTCTCTTCTGATCCTACCGAACATCATCTTCGTCGGAGTCTCTCCACCTCCTCTCTCGGCCGATCGAGAGCCGCCGCCGTCGCCGCCGCAGTCTCCGAACGCTCCTCCGCCTCGCCACTTCTCTGTCCTTCTCTCTCTCTCTCTCTCTACCTCTCTCTCTCTCTCTTTCTCTCCCTCTTTCTGCAAACGAAATTCCCTTCGTACGCTATTGTCCGTCACGAGTACTCCGCTCGTTAGCTTCCGCGTGCGATGTGCGCGATTACGAGCAACCTCGAACTAGCGCCGGCGGATTTGACATAAGGGGGTCCGCGTCTTCCCGAGAAAACGCGTTGTATTCTACAGAAATTAATGTCGTCTAAACCAATACGTATCATAGATGTCAAACGATTACCTCTTGGGATCACTTCTTGGAAAACGTAGAATTTCCTATCTGTTTTTTCCTCTGCACGGAGAGAATTTTAAAATCTCTTAAAATTTATCCTGAAAATCATGTAATCGTGGGACAATACGGCATTTCGAAGAATTTTATTAGAGTTTCTTGAAATTGTACCATACCTTTTACTAATAATTATACTTAGTATACGTTTTACTATCACTGAGAAAAATGTCCGATTAAATATAATCGGATAATCGGATAATCCAATTACACAATAGCAAACGGATATATCCGATCAAATTGTACATCCGATGAAAATGTGATCGGTTTTTCAATCAAATTTCATCGGATAAATTTCATTCATAATTTAATCGGGAAACATAATCGGAAAAATTAACCATCGAAAACACTAATTGGTTTATGCGATAAAAATTCTTCTCAGTGTACTGATGAAATCTTTCATCGATGAAGCCCACACTGATTAAATTTATATAATCGGATAATCCAATTACATAATAACATACGGATATATCCAATTAAATTGTATATCCGATGAAAAATATGATCGGTTTTTCAATCAAATTTCATCGGCAACTGCATTTCGTCGGATAAATTTAATCGGAAAACGTAAATCATTGGAAATACTATTTAATTGGTTTATCCGAGAAAAATTCTTCTTAGTGTACTGATTCTATCTTTCATTGATGAAGCCTATATAACATTTCGAAGACACATCTCACGATTCAGCTTTCCTCTGTTGACTTGATACGATATCGTTTATGTACAATGCCGGAATTTTGCAGAATTCGTTATCCATGATCTTCATAGGTTTTTTTTCTTAATTTACACGTCCTATTTTTCACAAGCGTTCTCTTTCCACCTATCAGTTATTCTTACTTGTGCGAGTCCTACTTATTCGAACGTTTTAAATCCGCCAGCACTACTTTACCCACGTAATCACTGAAACGTTCTAAATTCGTGCAACGACTTCCTCGAAGTTTAATCTTTCATTTATTGCGTATGCATACACGCACGCATGTTTCCCTCACGTATTAACACACGCGAGAGAAATTAATTTTGAATAATTATTCAACAAACACGAATATCCGAAACGCGAGTGTTCAGCAGACATTACGCGTAAATACATATACAATTGTCTCCAACTTTTATCTACAGTACCGGCCAAAATTATATCACCTTTCGATTTTTGGAGCATAACTGGTTTTAAAGTGCACGAATGTGTGTGTGAAAAATTAAAAAATCATGGTGTATTTTGTCAAATTTCATTACCCTTCGTGTACAAGATGCACCTGCTATCAGGTGTTTACTGTAAAATTTCGAGCACGTTCGATGCACTTTGACGAAAGTTATGCTCAGAAAATCTAAAGGTGATATAATTTTGACCGGTACTGTATACTACCACATTGTCTAAAATAATTTCGTGCGGTGAAACTCCTCTGACTGTAAAGACAAATAAATAATGATATATATATTCAATCATAGATATGTGTAAAATTGGTCGCTGTCCAAGTCTCTTAGTTTTTATATTCGTCATATCGAATGGATAACGTCTGCAAAATTCACGATTTTATTGTCCGAACTATTTAATCGGGTGAATCATATAAATTCATAATTAGATCATCATGTTGTCACGATCACGCGCATCAGTAAATTATGCAAACTCTACGAAGACGGGCACGTGCTGGAAAAATTGTGGAAAACAACAACGATCGCGAACAATAGTATAGTCAGATGCGGATTCACGCCTTTCAACTGAAATACTTCCTATTATGTTTGTAACTTGTTTGTTGCGCTGTTTTTAGCTTCGGGACGTACGAATGTAAATTTCACTTGCTCGGCGTAAAAAGTACCGCGCGTTCCCACGGTCTTTACCTCTTTTGACCTATCCCCTACTCCCATAATCCTCCTTTAAAAGGGGTCGCGTTTCATGTTTTCTAAATGTGCTTCCAAAGGGGAAAATTAAGAACAGATTTAAATCAAATGCGAGACTAATTATCAAATTGAGACTGATTATTGAAATCAGTTTAAAAGCTGTGCGAAATGACAGATGTCCATAAAGATATCTCTAAAGCTAAACATATTTATAAGATATGCCCATCAACCGTTTCTATTACCATTAATGAAAATGAATTGAGATTTGATTGAATCCCTGCTCAGTTAACTCGAATTAAAATGCTTACCGGAATGGTTCAGCAAGAATTACTCCAATATGCATGCAGATGCAATATCCATCTGGAAGGTGAAATGTCAAACTGAGCACACGCGACGATAAGCAGAATAAGGAAACGGTCGTTGCAACTAGTTCCGTTCTTCTGTAAAACGCGTTCTCGTCGAAGAGCGACAAAAATAATAACATGCGATGCTTCAAATTTACGTCACCTGATGATAGACTGAGATAAATACACGTGTATAAACACATTTCGCTATTCGTTGCCAGTACGTATGTAAATTACGATCATCCGGCGCGATTGAAGGCGAATTATGTCACCATATAATTTTCTATGTTCCAAAGACACAAAAACCTCTGACGCGCGCCATACTCTTTACAAATCATTTGTGTACTTAACACGATATCACATTAGCTAATCATGTACTGGCGTCAAATAATTCTTTACGTTATTTATACGTCGTCTAGCCATTTTCTACATTGGTTAATTATGTACTGGCGTCAAATAATTCTTTACGTTATTTACACGTCGTTTAGCAA